CCAGAAGACCAACAGAAGTCACTCCACCTGCTTAGTGTATGGACTATAGAGTGATTCATAGTTTCAGTTCCAGGGGAAACTGGATATAAGTTCATTCAGTTTTCATTCTGTTTGATGGTTCACTTATTTGTTCATTTTCTTTGCTTCTGTTTTTGCTTAAGTTGTTTTCTTCTATTTCATTTTCTTTTATTTTATTCTATTATATAATTTTTTTTAATTTTTAAGTTTTATCTTGCCCTTTTTTCCTATCCTTTCCCTTCTTTCTCTACTCTATCAAGCTTCTTTCAATAAGCAGACTGAAACATATCCAGGATCTAGCTTCCTTTATTTGATTTTTGTACTGTTTTTAATTTTTTAATTTTAATTTTTTATTAATACATTTTTTTCTTCCTCAAAAATGACAAACCAAAGGAATTTACCCAAAAAGAAAGAACAGCAAGAAATGACAGCCAGAGACTTAATCAAACAGATATAAGTAAGATGTCTGAACTAGAATTCGGAACCAGGATAGTAAGAATACTAGCTGAGGTTGAAAAAAGCATAAAAGACACCAGAGAATCCCTTTCTGTGGAGACACAAGAAACAAAATCTAATAAGGCTGAAATTAAAATGCTGTAACTGAGATGCAATCTTGAATGGATGTCATGACATCAAGGATGGGCAAAGTAGAGCAGTGAATCAGTGATGTAGAAGATAAAATTATGGGGGTACCTGAGTGGCTCAGTTGGCTGAGCTCCCAACTTCGGCTCAGGTCATGATCTTGTGGTCCGTGAGTTTGAGCCCCACGTCAGGTTCTGTACTCATGCTCGGAACCTGGAGACTGCTTTGGATTCTGTGTCTCCCTCTCTCTCTGCCCTCCTGATTGTGCTCTCTCTCTCTCTTTCTCTCTCTCTCTCAAAAATAAATAAACATCAAAAAAAAAAAAAAAAGAAGATAAAATTATGGGGAATAATGAAACAGAAAAGAGGGCAACCAAGGCAAAAGATCACGATTCAAGACTTAGAGAACTCAGTGACTTATTAAAAAGGAAAAACATCCAAATCATAGGAGTCCCAGAAGATGAAGAGAGAGAAAAGGGGGCAGAAGGTTTACATGAGCAAATTATAGTGGAAAACTTTCCTAATCTGGTGAAGTACACAGACATCAAAATTCAAGAAGCACAGAGAACTCCCATTAGATTCAACAAGAACCGACCATCACCAAGGCATATCATAGTCAAATTCACAAAACAGACAAGAAAAGAATTATGAAAGCAGCAAGGGAAAAAAAGTCCTGAACCTATAAGGGAAGACAAATCAGATTCACAGCATATCTATCCACAGAAATGGGGCAGCCTAGAAAGGAGTGGCAGGATATACTCCAGTGTGCTGAATCAGGAAAATATGCAGTCAAGAATTCTTTATCCAGCAAGGCTATCATTCAAAATAGAAGAACAGATAAAGAGTTTACCAGATAAACAAAAACTAAAGGAATTCATGACCACTAAACCAGCCCTGCAAGAAATTTTAAGGGGGGACTCTGGCAAAAAGACAAAACAAAACAAAAAGACCTAAAGCAACAAAGACAGTGAACGTCACCAGAAACACCAACTCTACAGGGAACACAATGGCACTAAATTCATATATTTCAGTACACATTCTAAATGTAAATGGAGGGGCGCCTGGGTGGCGCAGTCAGTTGGGCGTCCGACTTCAGCCAGGTCACGATCTCGCGGTCCATGAGTTCGAGCCCCGCGTCAGGCTCTGGGCTGATGGCTTGGAGCCTGGAGCCTGTTTCCGATTCTGTGTCTCCCTCTCTCTCTGCCCCTCCCCCGTTCATGCTCTGTCTCTCTCTGTCCCAAAAATAAATAAACGTTGAAAAAAAAAATTTTTTAATGTAAATGGATTAATCAGGGAAATACAAATCAAAACCACACTGAGATACCACCTCACAATAGTCAGAGTGGCTAAATTAACAACTCAGGAAACAACAGATGCTGGTGAGGATGTGGACAAACAGGAACTCTATTGCACTGTAGGTGGGAATGCAAACTGGTGCAGCTGCTCTGGAAAAGAGTGTGGAGGTTCCTCAAAAAATTAACAATGGAACTACCCTTCAACCCAGCAATAGCATTACTAGGAATTTATCCAAAGGATACAGGAATGCTGATTCATAGGAGCACATGTACCCCAATGTTATAGCAGCACTTTCAACAAGAGCCAAATTATGGAAAGAGTATAAATGCCCATCAACTGATGAATAGATAAAGAAGATGTGGTTTATATATACAATGGAATATTATTCAGCAATCAAAAAAAAAATGAAATCTTGCCATTTTCAACAATGTGGATGGAACTAGAGTGTATTACACTAAGCAAAATAAGACAAAGACAAATATCATGATTTCATTCATATGTGGAATTTAAGAAACAAAACAGATGAACAAAGGGGAAGGGAAGCAAAAATAAGATAAAAACTGAAAGTGAGGCAAACCATGAAAGACTCTTAATACAGAGAACAAACTGAGGGTTGTTGGCAGGGTGTGGGTGGGGGGATGGGCTAAATGGGTGATGGACATTAA